GATGTCACTCGCTGTAAACTGGAAAACGCACTACTGTTGTCCAATAAAGCGAATGAAAGTTGCGCAACCGCACTGAGATGGCTGTTTTTTTTTTTCATTTCTTTCCTTTCTTTCTTTTGCGTGAATTGCACGCGTCAGCGAAATATTATTTCATGCATATATTCGCACGTCGAAACATTCACGTCGTAAATTCCCATCTTCGGCTCGTCGTGGCCGCGCGTGGTGAAATTATTCTCGCGAAGAATAGAAGAGGAGAGTAGGAAGAAAGTTGCGCGACGCTCCCTAAAGTGTAGGATTCGTCGCATCTTCCGTACGACTTCCGCGGCGGGGGGGGGGGGGAGGGGCTGCGTAGGTGGAACTATTTTACATATCCCGCGGTGGGTGAGATTTGAACGGCATATTTCGGGAAACCAGGCGCAGCGATATATTTCGAAATATCGAATCGAGGCGCGGTGGGTGGTAGTTTTATGGTGCAGGCCGCACCGAAGCGTGTTTTGTTTTTATCCCGAATAGAGATCCCCCTCGCGATATCTTCCGCCTCCATCGCGGACTCTCACGTAACGGTCGCCTTACGTGATCGAGTATTGTAAAGCGCAGAAGCACGAATAAAAATGATCGCCCCGCGCGACGCATCTGCATGCTGATACGCACGAAATATTTCTTATTATTTCTCGAGGGCCGCTTGAACGAAAATTTGTGCGATGACATGCGTTAGATAGATAGATAGATAGATAGATAGATAGATTAGATCGTTCGGTGCTTCGTCACGCGTCCGTGAGCTCACAAAGCGAGAATTGAGCCGGGCTATAAATCATTCCGCAATGATTCTCTCCTTCGGACGAACAACAGGAAAGCTTTATCGTTATCGCAACAGCAGCAGCAGACTCTCTTCCCACAGTTTGTGGTTGGAGCTTATACATACATATATATATTGCGGTCCCGCTTTGCTGAATTATTTCGTAACATTGTCACTTGAAATAAATACATCTTTGTCATCGTCAACGACTCAAGGCCCCTGAAGGGATTTCTCTGTGCTCCGCTTCGTATCAGCTTTCTTTGCGCTTTTTCTATGCTTTTTAATATGTTAATGTGACACGAGAGAAATCTTACTTTATTTTCTACGGATCGCACATAATAAATTTCAACAATCCCACGAGCATCAGCAGGAAGAGTACGTCTAAACAAAATGTAGCGCACCGATCTCTTCTGAATAATTTAGTAATAACAACCTACGCGCGGCAGCGAATCTCCAGTCGAGCTGCTGCGTCGTCCCGAAAGACAAACGGCTATTTCAGCTATAGATCGGGAGTGTTTGAGCAAGCTAAAGTCGCATACATATTTCTACTTTGCGGACATTTGCATATGAAGCATCGCACGAATTTCGCAAAGTCAAAGTGCGAGAAAATGTGGCGCGTGGGCTCCCACTGATCATTTGCAAATTATGCCATAGAAACAATTTTATGTAAAACAAACGTGATCGCGAGACAGATAAAGCGAGAAAAAAATAAACGCGGTGAAGCGAAGAATTATTGCTTGCGCGCACGCACATACACACACACACACACACACGTTTTCGGGGAAAGGATCTAATACCTGAGTCCTTGCGTCTCATTCTAGCGATCGTATCTAGCAGGACTCGCACCGGTGCGGTGGAAGTTGGCGTTGGCTGGTGTATTTTCTGGTGTGTGTAAAATTTCTTCATGTCGCGGTAATCGGAATGTCGACGACATTCCGACCGGGTGCGCGCCGAATTCTCACGATTCTGAATGACTCTCGTATAATGGCGAATACGTGCACGTGCACGTGTGTGCGTCCGTCTGAGGGGATAAAAAGGAGCATAAAAGTGGAGGGGCCCATCGACTAGCGGTCACTACCGGTCCTCCCCCTTTGTGCCGGATACTTTCTTTCAAGTTTTCCGCAACGAATGCGTGCCCTGATCGGGCGTCGAAATCGCCCACATGCTTGTCTACCAGGTGATTTCAACGATACCGGCAGGTACAACGGCGCGAGAGCAGCCCCCTCCCCCCTCCCCTTTTGTATAAATTGTATGGATTATCATCGCTCGCTGCGACGTCCATTATCGCGCCACAGAAAAGTGACGACGTAAGATACTCGGAAACTCGAACAAATAGAAATTGATTTTGACACGCATGCCTGTTTGATCACACACGGAGTAAACGTTGCGCAACAAATGTCAAATTGTACGCGGGGCCGATATTAAAATTTACTGTGCGGCCGCAATGCGCCGCAAGACGGCGGAAGGATATCGCCCGGCCGGGGGATCAAGGAAAACTGCGTCGTTTTTGCGACCATCTCTCACCTCCCCGGCAGTTCGCTAATCGGTGCTATTGCTTTCCCGTATCATGATACACCTCGCAAACGAGAATACGGCATTCAATCGGACTCGCATAAGCGCGTTATTACCAGCTCCGCAAATCACTAATTCCCGAAAGCACCGCCCATAATCCCGCGTAACCTTACACAAAGTGCGCGCCCGCGGGCCAACGACTCGTGTTCTGGAACTAATCGCTCGTTTAATCCTTTTGTCTAAGAGAGCTACGCTTGAAATGCTTAAAGATTTAGCGTGAAGGGTATTAGCGCTTCGCGGTATTACACACGAGCCGGCCCGGAGGAGCCCGTAGCCTGTGGTCAGCGTGTAAATACACGCATCGTCATCGATTAACCGGAATGCCGTAACGTCTATTTTGCAACGAGATTATGTCAAATAGCTGCAGTTTCAGGCGCTCGGGTTACACGCGCGCGGCACTCGCAGTCACGCTGATGGGCGCTTTCCGCACGCGAGCTCTTGTATTACCATCGGCTTCACGCCCGATTTAATCATCCGTTACACATCGCCCGATCTTTCCCCGGATCGCTACACGAAACCGGTTTGTTCCGCGCCACGAAAATTTCTGTGCTAGCTACGCGCGTCCTGTACTCACACCGGAAATCTACCCCCCGTGCATTCGTCATCTACCCCCGCCCCCCCCACCCCCCCTCGTGGGGAGGTCTCGGGGAGATCGCCCGATACGAGGAGCTTCTTCATTGCTTCCTCATGGATTTCTTTGCAGCAATTCTGCGCCTTCCGCAGCAATGCGAATCGCGCGCGATTCGACGATGCGAAGAAAAATTATTTCCGCGCCTTGTCGTACGGCCTCATCATCGTGCGCGATCGTTGGAGACATGTTTTCGCTGCGACGGTTAATAATTATTCTTCGCTTATTTCTCGGCACATCGGAGATATAACTTTCTCTTTCTCGAGCGTCATGTACGAGAGCACGCAGTTACAGCCTGGAGAGCCTATACGTTCCATCTTGATAGATGACTTTATGGCAATTCGATAACTCCTCAAGGCACGAGAAGGAATTTGAATGTCATCTTGAATATTTCTCGCTCCAATAGGCACGAACAATACGTGCCAAGTCTGTAGCGATGCGCTCTCGGAAATAGAAAGCAACAACCCTCTCTCATCGTCATCAGTACTGTATGCGCGGTGTGAGGATTACGATGGGACTGCGGAGTGGCGGAAGTTTCGCGTTAATAACGCAGACTTCGCTCTAGTCTTATTCCTACCAGGCTGATTTGATGTCGCGTTAAATAATACTCGGGGAAAAAGGAACATGACGAAGCTCACACTCAACTAACATTTGAAGCAAATTTACTTGTATGCGCTTTTGGCAAATTACGTTGAAAATCTCACGGGAGTTGCATCACCTTCCTTAACAATAATAAGAAATTAATTTGACTGTTCTGATATTGATATTGTACGATTGTACAATGAGTAGTGGCCTATCTTGGGGAAGAAGGGTGGGGGTCAACCTAGCTCCAAGGTGAACACAATGCAGTTGTGATCTTCGTGTCACGTGCTTGCACTCACAGTCTCGGAATCGTAAATAGATGCTTTGTAAAAAAGCGTAAAAGTTTTAGTTTCTCGGCACGTACGCGCGTTTGATGATGACAGCTGATCATCGCATTTACAGATGGACTTCGCGAGGTCGTAGGAAGCAGACTGGTGGGAAGTACACCGGTAGGGGGGGGGGGGCTATTAGAGACTATCTCGTGCCGTGTCATCAAGGATATCAAAGGATATTAAGCTGTTCCGAGGAAAAGACGGAAGTACTCTAATGTGTGAAGAAAAATAGAGCGACTGGCCAAAACAATACAATAGTAACTTGGCGTTGAACATGAAAGAAATTATGAGGTCCCTGACTCCGACTGTGACGCAACAACCCTGAAATCCAACATGGCGGACTCAATATGGCCGAGAAAAATGCAAGAAGCGGTCGAACCGGAAGCTGTCCATCGGGCGCAGCTGACAATCGACATCGAGAGGCGCATAAAACGCCAAGTCCTCTTTGAAAAAATGTCATCTTTAAGAAGAACCTTCTTTAGGACGATGACTGAACATCGTTTTCTACAGAGAAACTCTTCGAGCAAAATATCGCTCCCAAATCCCGACCCAACGGGCCTACATAAGTCACCGCAGAAATACTCGCGCGCCCCCCCCATGATGAGCGACAGACTACCACCACGGGGAATGGTTAACGCAAATCGATTAGACGTAGACACACAGTCCGCACGCACGAATTCAATTATAACCGCGCGAGCGCGACATTAAAATCACGTAACAATTTGCCGCATGGAAACACGTCCCGGCCCCGTTGCACGTTGCTACGCCCGCACTCGGCATCCCGTAGTCCCGCACCCGACACCCGGGTCCGCGTGGACCGCGCGATTGACGTTTCCGCCGTTCGATCCCACCCCACCATCGAGCCCACGTCGCGCGCGCGGTCCAGCCGATCCGATACTGCACCCCCTAGCGTTTCACGACAGTCAACCGACGTGGTCAGGTGGCGCGTCGCCCTCAGGCGCCGGAGCATCGGCCGACCGCAACTCCCTTGACGGAAACAAAAGGGCGACGAGGGGGTAAAGGCCGGCGGCGATACAGGTATCCGCGAGGCGCGATACGTATTCTCCAAGGACGCGTGTCTCACACTCACCACAGCCTCGGCGACCGGTATCCACGTGGCGGCCAGCACCAGTAGGGCAAGGACGCAGGTGGTTCGCAGGACGACGAGCGGGATCGGCCGCGAGATGCCGCGGCCCGCGTCGTCGGTGGTTGACGTTGCCGCGGCCCTGGGCCGCATCGTGCCGGCCTAGGTCCTCCTCCTCCTCCTTCTCCTCCTCCTCCTCCTCTCCCTTTCTCTCTCTCTCTCTCTTTCTCTCTTTCTCCTCTCTCTCTCTCTCTCTCTCTTTCTCTCTCTCTCTCCCTTTCTACCACCTTCGCCTGTCCTACGGACGATTCTGAGGGTTCTCTCTCTCGGCTACCGGTCCTTCCTGCGCGCTCCTTCGTCCTCACGGCCCCCGAGGTGAGCGGCGCCCAGAGTCCTGCTGCCTCAGCGGCAACGTGCGGCAAGGCAGTATCGCGCTGGCGTGCGCGCGACCGTGCCGTTAAGCTCGCCGGTCAGCCTGTCGACGCACCGCGTGTCGAAGGGCCAGACAGACGGCTCGGTTGGCCCGTCCTCCTGATCACTCGGCGCTACACACAGACGGGAGTACACAAGGCTGGCCCGAAGGCGGCGGAGGAGGTGCGCTCTCTCTCTCTCTCTCTCTCTCTCTCTCTCTCTCTCTCTCTCTCTCTCTCTCTCTCTCTCTCGCTCCCTCCCTCCCTCTCTCTCTCTCTCTCTCGCTCCCTCTCTCTCTCTCTCTCTCTCTCTCTCTCTCTCTCTCTCTCTCTCTCTCTGTCTCTCACTCTTTCCTCTCGATCTCTGTTCCTTCTCCTCCTCCTCCTTCGTCTCTCCTCATGCCGTCACTCTTTCTCTCTCTCTCTCTCTCTTCTCCCGGCTCTCTGTCCCGCCCTCCCTCGCTCGTGTGTGTGCTCTTTCTCTATCTCGCGACCTGTATCCTTGCGCGTGGTTGAGCTCTCGCGGCACTCTCGCGGCAGTGGCGCGGCCTCCCTGACGGGCCCCGCTCTACCCCGCGGCACAGCTAAGTTCCGTAAGCACGGCGGCACCGAGAGAGCTCAGAATCGGCGCGACCGACACCGGTAGGGTCCCTCGCGGCCGCGCAACAGTCCTCGTGCGACGCGCGACCGCGCGTGCGAGCGAACGTTCGGGTCTTCAGAGGCGACCAGCGGCACTCTCTCCACCTCCTCCTCCTTCTCCTCCTCCTTCTCCTCCTCCTCCTACTTCTCTTCTGCTGGTGTTCTCTTTCTCCTCCACCTCCTTCTTCTTCTCTTCGGCTGCTTCTTCTTCGTTCCCCTACCAAGCAACCCCGGAGAGTTGGTCTGTCTGTTCGTTCGTTCGTTCGTTCGTTCGTTCGTTCGTTCGTTCCTTCCTTCCTCCCTTTATTCTCTCTCTCTCTCTCTCTCTTTCTCTCTCTTTTCCTCTTGTGCACTCCTCCTCTCCTTCTTCGTCGTCGTCGTCGTCGTGGTTGTCTTCTTCTTCTTCTTCTTCTTCTTCTTCTTCTTCTTCTCCTTCTTCTTCTTCTTCTTCTTCTTCTTCTTCTTCTTCTTCTTCTTCCTCTTCTTCTTCTTCTTCTTCTTCTTCTTCTTCTCCACGTCTCTCGACAGGCCGGCTGGCTGGCAGGAGACTCCGATCGCCCTGTTCTCTCGCAGGAGCGAGAAGAGAAGAAGCGCGAGGAGAGGGGACCGATCTCCCCGTCGACGTCGTCGGGGAAAACGAGCGGACGAAGCGAGTGAGCGCGCGCGCGGGCGAGACGTCGGGACCGTCGCGCGGAACCGAGAGAAGGCTCTCTCTTCTCGCCCGGTCCTTTCGGCGGAGGAATTCTAGCTGGCGTGGCTCGGCGCGACGGCCGCCTCCACCTTCCTTCCTTCCCTCCACCCGAAGTCCATTCAGAGCCCTCCCTGGATGGGACGGTCCGCACACACCATCGGTCTACTTGGTGCCGGGTTCCGCGCGATATTTTGTGACTGCCTGTCCGTGCGGTGCTCGTGCTTTAGCCTGTGCTTCTCGGCTCCCTAGACCCGTCGCGGAATAGGGAGGTCGACATGACCCGGTTGGGATTGCGGTGAGTCGCCACTGATTTTACTTTTCACTTTGGCTTCGTCCCGTAGCTCCGAGTCCTCCTCTTGCGGTCACCCTTTCGACCGCTTCCTGCGGCCGCGGTTTTCTCTTCGTCTACCCCTTATCTCCTCTTCCATTTCTTCTTCTTCTTCTTCTCCTTCTTCTTCTTCTTCTTCTTCTTCTTCTTCTTCTTCTGTCTCTTCATCTTCCAAGTCTTCTCCTCGTTCGTTCCTCTTCTTGGGCCCGTCGCTCGAAACGTCGGGTCTGCATCAGCGCGTCGCTGATTGCGCCGTTCCACGGAGGGGAGAGTTTCACCCCCGTCTCGCGCGAGCGCGAGCTTCCGCGGAAAGGTGAGAGGACCCCAAGGACGACTACGAGGCGAACTCGCGTGCGCGTAGGAGATTGTCCTTCCGACACGGCTTTGACGCAGCCGCGGGTCAGACCGTGTCTGTCTCTCCCGCGACTTCTCTCCCTTTTCCGCACGCGGTTTTTCCTGCCAGCCTGACCACACGAGTGTTCTTTCAGCCTGGGTGGTGAATACATATTTACTCGGTTTCTCGCCCCGATGACGTCGGAACTTTGCGAGCGAGCGAATCTCTCCGACGAAATCGTCGACTCTGCACTTTGAACCCGCGCGCGCGCGCGCGCGACTGTGAATTCGCGCGGCGCCGACGACGCAAGTGCTGGTTTGCGTCGTCCGTGAGTGACACGTGCGAATGGGGGGATGTATTTTTCACGAGTGACGAGTCGCGCTCGTTACTTCGGGGCTCGCAGGTCCGTTTTCCGCGGGGCGAGCCGCGCATCGCGACGGAGTGTTGCTCTCGGCGAGAAGCCTTTCTCGCGCGTCTTTCAATCCACCCCACCCCCCTGCCCCCTGCGGCATCCCTCTAACACGGCCCAGAGCCAATGCGACTTGCCGACCCGAAATGACACCCCGATGCAATTCTGCTTTCAGATTCGTCGCATCCGCAGTTTGGCTGGCCGGGATTGTTAGTGCGGTATGTATACCCTCATCAACTCTCACGATTCACTTCCGTTCCTCGCGAGTGCGTGCTGCAACATCGTCGCGCGTCATATAACACGAGAGATGTCAATTAACAGCCGCGAGCTACTCGGCTCGGCGTGATCATTCGGCCGTCACACACCATCGTTCGACGATGAAGGTGATCGCGCGCGCGCGCGCGCGCGACGACCATCGACGTCAATTACGCCGACGTTAGGTGGCGACTCGAGATTGACATCTCTTAACCGCGAAGAGAGAAACGTCTCGTGTGTTTGTTCGCTCACACGAGTCGTTACGCGTGCCGCCGTCGCCGCCGCAGCCGCGGAACTTGCGGTACATCGTGGTCGCGCGACCGGTTCGACCGCTCGGCTTATTTCGCCGGTTCCATTCATCGGCGTTGCACATCGCGTGTCCAGCGTATCTTGGCGTCCACTTGATGCACGCGTCCGTAGTCGAGAGCTGGTGCGCGCTCGCGTCGCCGCGGCACGCAGCAGCACGTGCACCCACGTCCGCGCGCGCTCCGTGTTGTTCGCCGTTCACGGTCGTTTGTTCGCCGCCGCGTCGTCGTCGGCGAAACAGTCAGAATCGAGGGGTTTCGCCGCCGCGAACGCAGCGATCGTGGTCAGGTCGTTTGGCGCTGTCGGGCGCAATTTGCACACACGAATACATTCGCCAGCAGCCGTGTGAAGGGACACGATCTTATCCCGCTGCTGTGTGTATGTGTGTGTGTGTGTGTGTGTTCGTGTCCCGAACGGGATGTATTTCGGGGAAACGTATTTCCCACCGAGCGCTGGACTTGTCCGTCCTGGGCAAGTCCAGCGCTTCAGCGCGATCGGATTTTAATTCTCCCCGCTTCCCTCGCGCCTACGGACGATCTGCCATTTATCGCGGACACGTTAGTCTGTGTGTGTCGCAAACTCTCCGGGACGCTTCGCTGCGTGCTTGTTACGCGCACGCATCGCAATTTACATGTAGTCCGCATGTGTGAAATGTCACAAGGGGGAGACATGGCCGGGGGGTGGCGGGATGGGGCGGGGTGGGCAGGGCTTTCGTACAAGTGGCGGGGCCTGCATTTTAAGCGCGTTACACGCTGCTACGACGGGGCGATAAGAGTTTTATGGAAAATTACCAGGCGTGTGACAAATATAGCGGTGATCGTGCGGAGGACGTAATAAAAGTGACCAGGGTTTTGCTAAGCCGAGCCGTCGGTATTAATTGGTTGTCCGTCGCTGTCGCTCGCGTTGCGTCACGTTTCCACCGTGGGCTCTCTGATAAGGTTCGCGAGAAAGATGATAAAAAACGACCGACGCGACGACTCCTTTTCATTCGGTGCTCTATGATTATACTGGTGGCTGATAAACCTCCTTTGAGATCGCCCGCGAGACACGCGGTCGAAATCTCGAGGGACTTCTCGCTCGAGCGATTTCCCGTCGCCGAGCGTGGCGACCGCTGAGAAATCAGGATGCGACCGAAAGGCTGGGCGCGACTTTATCGTCCACCGAATGAAACGCGTGTCTGCAGCACGTGCAACATTCACGGCTACAATGTACGCCAGAGGCCGGAGATCGCGTTATTTTTTTATCGCGGGAATCTCTCAATTCTCGCCGCGAGATCGGCGTTGAAGACGCGTTATAAAGTGACGGTCGCGACGGCTGCGAACGCCCACACCGGCGAGTTTTACGCGATTTGCAAGGTCGTTTAGTATCTCTCTCTCTCTCTCTCTCTCTCTCTCTCTCTCTTTCGCCAGCATGCCATCACACAGTAGCACCCGACTACTGCCAGGTGCTTCCTCCGTCGTGGCGATTCGCGCCGCCCTTCCGCGGCCTTTCTTCGACCCAGATCCTTGGGATGCTCGGCCGCGGCCAAATAGCACAGTAGGAAGCGACCGCGGAGTCTTCTGCCCGTGAAATTGCGTCAGAGCTGTGTCTCTCCTCGCTCGATGTTTCTCGCGGCGCCTCGCAGGCTGATGGGATTTTCGGATTTCAACATCCCTCGAGATTTTTCCCTCTCAACATCGAGTCTCGCGGACTCGTCTCGCGTGGACTTTGATGTCGCATCGTTAACAATAGAAGACGCAGATATTGCTATCGCGAGAGTGTGAGTCACTCCTTCTGTAAACTACTCGCTGAGGCCGGTCTATATGATTTACACCTACACCTACAAATGAATCGCGACAAACGAATCGCGCGTTTAGTACGCGACTGTGCAGTTTCGGATTAAAGCGGAAGGAGAGATTAATCGAGCACGGCTACCGCGCAAGTTTACATCGCACTCCGGGGGTCTGCCGCTCCTCTGTTATTGTCGCGGCCCCCTTTTCCTCGCCCCCGGTCAGTCCTCTACCACCTCGCGGCGAGGACTCGGAACGGGGAAGGTGTTAGATCCGAAATAGGCCAGTCGTCTCTGACTGACCAGTCCGCCTACGGCGCCGTAACCGCGCTCGCTGTAATTTTATTACAGCCGCATACGCGCGCGTGCAACGCGCACGCGAGCCAGCTTAGTCACTACTGGAAATAGTCGGCAATTGAGTTCAGGACTTGATTTTCCTGTCTCTCTCCCTCTCTCTCTCTCTCTCTCTCTCTCTCGCAGACTCTCGCCGGTATCCCGTCGGGGTAAAATCGCGACTCCCTCCTCCCCCTCCCACCTTTCTCTCTCTCTTTCTCTCTCTCTCTCTCTCTCTCTCTCTCTCTCTCTCTCTCTCTCGTCCACCTGTTCACTTCCACCAGCGGCAGCTTCTTTCTCGCGCGATTTCGTTCGCACCGAAATTTTTCGCGAGATGGGCTGTTACTCCCCGAATGGACGAACGGTTTTGCGGATTACTCCGAGCTCCCTCGCTTGTCACTTGGTGCAATTTGTGCCGCGGAATACGGAAAATTGCTTCACGTAAATCCTATATACGGGGCACAGCCTGAGCAGAGAGAGAGAGAGAGAGAGAGAGAGATCACGCTCTGTGAAATTATTCCGCACTTGTCTATTACGTGCCGCGAGCTTCGAATCCGTCCAGTCAGCGTTCTCGTCGCGTAGGTAGATAGGTGTGTTTAACGCCGAGGAATGAGCGTTGTAGCACGCTATGTCGGAGAACAGCGATATTTGAAACTGAGATCTGGAGTCCAAAGAACATCGCGTATTTGCGGAGGAATTTTGCACGCGAGTCATTTCTCCCGTGATATGCGGCGACGTGATACGGATATTTCAGCGTTGTAATGTAGTTCATGTTTGAAAAATTACAGAATTCCAGCAAAATTACAGGGTTACAACAACGAGAAAGAAGCGGCGAATTTTTATCACTCGTCTAGAGTGACAGATGGCAAAGATCTGAACGAAAAAGAGGATCTCATCCGATGAGTGAGAATAAGGAAAAAGAAAAGAAAAAAAAAAAAAAACAGACGTTTCCGTTGATCTGTCCAATCTGTGTGTAATTCGCGACGTACCGACTATCGTTGAAAATTCAGCGAAGATCATACGGTCAAACGGAAGTTCGAGCGCGCGGCATCTGATTGCCGCCGTATTGGGGCGCTGTATCGCGATGTCGCGGTCGGCACTGTAAAATTCATAAACTCGGCAACCGGGCACCGGCGCGACCGGCTCGGTCCTGTTAATTAATTGAATTCCAAAATTTCTCCGCGCCCCTTAAACGATAAATTCCCCCGTGTCGTTTCAGCGAGCGAGATTAAAATCGGCGGACGCATCGGAATCTCGCCATCCGACGCCTGCCTGGCCCCGCCGTGTCGGCGGGCGCATTATGCTCATGAATACGCGTGATGCCGCTGCGGGATCAGAAAAAATCTCGAGTAACGAATTAGCGTATGCACCGTCCCACGTGAAGTTAACGTCAGCCGCGTCGGCCGCGGTCGTTAAGCACGTCCGACTTGGATGTGACGGCGAAAGATGAAAAAGAGACACGGAGCGGGTGGGCGAGAACGGAGAGAGCAGGTCGGTCGGTCGGTCAGGACGCGATAGAAAAAGAAGAAGACCGAAGCGCAAGGAGGAGAGAAGACCAAGACGAGGAAGAAGGTCGTCGGGGGAGGGAGGAACGGGGGGGAGACACGCAGAATGTGACCGTCGTCGCGGCCGGTCACAATATACACGACTCTTACGGGTTGCGTAATCGCGGATTCACGAAGGCGGTCGGAGATAGGCGATAAAAGGGACAATTCTTGAACCGTCACGAAAAGATATCTCGTATCTGGAAGTAGGAGAGAGAGAGAGAGAGAGAGAGAGAGAGAGGGAGAGAGAGAGTGAGAAAAAGAAAGAAGAAAGGAGAGAGCGAATTGGGTTAGCGTTTCGTTAAATGAAAATTGCTGGCGGACGCGTGAACCGTTCTCGCACGAGCGGATTTCAATCAGCCGGTCGATCTCGTAGAGTCGATCGCTGACTTTGGCCGCTCGATTGCCTATCCCTCGTCAACCATCGGTATAATGGCTGCAAATCGACCGATCAGCATCGCAGGGCCTTGGTTTGGATCGCGGGACGTTAACCTCAACATGGTCACGGTGCGGTATCATGCGTTACGAACTTAATGTGCATGATTTTCGACCTGGGCTCTCTCTCTCTCTCTCTCTCTCTCTCTCTTCCGCTCTCTCCCTCTCGGGGCAAGTGGAGCTCTTCGGGCTAGAAACAGGCTGTTGCATCTTTGAAATTGCGGTCGTACGGGGTCTCGTGAGCCCTTTCAATAATAGAGACATTAACTATATTTCGATGCTCTCAGGTTGTCGTCAACAAAATGGCGTCAACTCGATCAGATTAAAGCTAATTTTTCTTCAGTAAACGCGAGTGAACGTGAATTGCATCGAAACCCGCTGTTTCGACGACTGCTGCACAATTATCAAACGCACCAAACGTTTCGGTCAAATTTGCGGTAACAGTACAAAACACGCAAGAGAGCGAGAACACAAAAAGAGCGATCTCTTCAGCGCTTCTCCTCAACCTCATCTGCGCATTTTCCCTCGCAAAGTGCGACGGATTTCCACGGCGGATTAACACGGTTGACAAACTCGCGAGAAATCGGTGGGGCTCCGACATACGCGGCTTGTCGCTTCTCACAGGCGCTTTGCACTTATAAGGCGCATCCGGCCGTCATTCATTCGATTCGGTCGCTTTTCTCCGGCGGCACGTCATCGTCGCGCGAAATAAAAGAGCAGCTTGTCCTGAACGATTTGCATCCGAGATTGAAAGTGCTAAGCGGCCTTCTAATCCACGCGCATTATCCAGCGCGGCCGGCTGAGTTATCATCTGCATAACTCATGAATCGCGTACAGCGGCCAGGATAATTTCACGGTTTGCAGATTCGCAGCGTGCGAATCCCCCCCTCCCTCCCTCTCCCCGCGTCGTGCTCTCTCCCCCTGCGTCGAGCCGCCGTTCGTGCGATCCGTTGTTGAACGATGGGTTTATCATTGAGACGAAAGCCCGCAGTCTGGCTGCGTTTACCGGCACCGACACGAGCAACCTCCCGCCCGCGCGCGGCTTTCATTTCTGTTTCCTCCTTTCGCGCGATCAGCGCGCCAAGCACGGGGATGACGTATGGCCGCGCAATAAGTCGAAATTGAATCTACCGGCGGCGGCGGGGAGAGAGAGAGAGAGAGAGAGAGAGAGAGAGAGAGAGAGCGCGACGATTTCGTGCTTTGCCAGGCGATTTACGAGGCGTATCTCCGTATCATCGGATTTCATGATGAATCAAATCCATCTGAATTGGAACCAGACGCGGGATTGATGTTCGCCGGACAGATAAGTCGCCGGGGTAATTTCGCGGCAATAATTCCGACTCGTGTCGGGGCTTTGCAGCCTCAAGTGGGTCTCGGACAGATTTATCTCTCCGAAATAGACCGGTGCGCTTCTTTTTACCCCTAAATGTGCTGCTTCTCCTCCTCCCTTTGCTCTCTCTCTCTCTCTCTCTCGTGCTCTCTCTCTCTCTTCAGTCGGAGGACTTCAAGCATAACAATCCAGTCAAACTTTCTCGCAATTGCTCTTGCCAAATGCGAAACAGAATAACAAGCTGCCACTGCGCCGAAGAAATGATAGATGACAACGTTTCAGTCCCGAACGCTCCGATATTTGTCCATTCAATCGCTTGTTTGTCGCCGTTGCAGAATCATTGAAAGCGCTTCTGTGTGTATATATATATATATATATATATATATATATATATATATATATCGACATGTATCGCTACCTGCGATACCCAGCTCAAAGCACGTCGCGAGACCGAGGGTGTAAAAAATGATCGAGTGACAAATCGTTATTGGAGACTATCGCAATCAATCGCGGTCTCTATTGTATCACGCGACATTTTTGAATACTCCAAGTTCTCTCTCTCTCTCTCTCTCTCTCTCTCTCTCTCTCTCTCTCTCTCTGTCTCTCTCTCTCTCTCTCTCCGTCATAAATTCTAATTCACGCACGCGGCCTACGGTCTCTAATTCGATCATTCGCGGCTTTCTTCTTTGTGACCGCGAGACAGGTTGGCTCGTCGTTTCGAATCCCACGATGTGCGTCGATGAATGAAGCTTTAAAAGGATATTATCGTTCTGCTATCGTTGTACGCGTTGCATATGCGGCACAGACGCGCAGCCACTCCGAGAACGATACGTCATCTCGGAACGATAACTGCCTATCTCCCCGCGCTTCCTGCCAGCGTGTGCCATCGCCGGGGATACGAAAAAAAGGACAAAAATGTGAAAACGAGGGCAAGACAATGACTTTCTGGGAAAAAGGATGACGCATTCGACGCGAATCTGAGCGCAACTGGCTGCGTTGCTGCGGTCGCTCGTCGCTAAAACTAAAGTAGTCCGTTTCATCGATCCCCCGGTCGACGTTCTTGTTGCCGAACCTTGTCTCCGCGATGTCGAATATCATCATCGCTCGTCGCGATAATTAGCAGCACAGAAGAAGCAACATATATTATTTCGCCGTTCTCAACGGAACGGAAATAATTTCCCGGCGGCCGCGTCAGTCGCAAACGAAGCAAGAAACGCGAGAGAGTAAGTGACGAAACTTGGATACGCGCGCGAGATAGCCGGCCGATTGAAGTTTCGACTGAAAGAACCTCGTTATATTTGTCTTCCGCGAAATCCTCGCGGAAGTTTAATAATCTCGCGTTAATCTGCCGCGTCGCGGAACGGAACGCTCTCTTACGAGAGCGCTCCCATCCGATAAGGCAATTAATCTCGGTAAAATCGAGCCGGCGAGCGGCGCGTAAGAAGCGAGAGAGCGAGATACGAGGAAGATATGAAGACATTGGAAATGATCACTAACGCCAGGCCGCTTTTATCTTCTTCACGGAGCGCGCCCGATCGGTCGGTAAAGCGTCCCTCTTTTTTGCCCGGTCGTACCGGGTTCGCCACGGGGTCGTAAGAACGATGCACTCGGTCGATAAAGCGTAAATCTTGGCCGCGCGCGAAATGCGAGCTCGTTAAATTTACGGCCACGCCGCTTGTGTCACGGAACGCACACCTATAAATCTCAGAAGAATACCATTTAATGGCGGGGGGAGGGGGGGGGAGGGCGGGGGATAACGGGGCGACTTAATGTTATACGAGTAAACCGTCACTCGCATGCGCTCGCGCCGGAGCAATCTCGTTGTTAAATCTTCTGCAAATTAAGAAGGGACACGTACGTGGCCCGGTCGTTATTAATTCTATGAATAATGTGCATCGCCAGTCTGGCCGCGGATCAAATTTGCACGGCGCCCGTTGATACGTGCGTTGATACGCCAAGGAAAACTCGATGCCAAACAGATGTTCTATTCATTCGCGTCGCCGTCGTCACGTGAGATCTCACGTTCCGCTTGTTCCTCCTCCTCCTCCTCCTCTTGTTCTTCTTCGGAATATCGATTTCCTCGGAATCTCGATTGAGCGTAAATGCGATATTACGAATTACATTTTGGCGCGGACGCAACGTTGCAGTTAGATTCGATTGCTACCGCGGAGTGCATCGAGGGAAATACTTCTCTCACGTCTTCCGCCTCTTTCGCTTTTTCCTGACTTTTTCTCTCTCTCTCTCTCTCTCTCTCTCGCGCTGTTATTGATTCTCTCGACTCTCGACTGGACGCGGAGATGCGATGTGGTTATCGATTGCATTTTGGCGCGGATACAACGCGCTACAATTAGACAGGCTTGCCATATAGAGCGTGAGATCGCGTTCGTCGAGGCTCTCGCGCTCGTGTTTCGCGCAATATAATTCTTTGATCAGTTTGCGAACGATTTTGGGTGAGAATTGCGGGAGGCTTGTTGAATAACGCGCGGGACTTCGGATTCCCCGACGTTTTTTTCGCGGGATAGATTCCGCGTATCGAATGTTGCGCATTATTTACGGGAAAATACTGAAGTTGATCGTCAAACCGCAAAAGAAAAGAAAGAAAAAGAAAGAAGAATGCTGTTTGCAACCGCGGAGAATCGTTGCTTGTATATCACATGCATTTTATCTGGTACGGCGCTACGGAAGATATACTTTTGAAAATCCCCGAACACACGTGTGGTTTTCTATCACACCCGTTAATCGCGGTATTATTGCTCGAACACACTTTGCTCTACCAGCTTGACAAACGACAATTTGTTGGCTCTCCGTTTTCGCCCTCTATATCTCGCGCGCACCTGTACCCTGTATCAGCTCGCGGCTGATATCGCGTTTTATTGATCGCACCGACGCCGCGTACTTTTCCAATTCCATTTACGAAGCTTTTCATTTCTCTGAATATTTGTTTTAGCAATTTAATCACACATCATGGCAGAGCAATCCACTGCCGGTCGTGCCGCTAGGAGGACGAGGTGATATTCCGGGAAGGCACGACAATGTTAGCGATGATGATTACAGCGGTTCGTTGGAATGGAAATATCCCGATAGAGGGTTCATCACGAATAACGAAGGTACACGAACAACATGTTCCCTCGTCGTGCTTTTGTCGCACAGGCGGAATTGTGTATCCGCTCTCTACACCTCCTCTTTAATCTATTCAGTATTCATGCATCATCGGGCAATATAGAGAGAATGGTCCACCGTCTTGCGACAGGGAGAATATGATGCATCGTTACATTCTATACTTTTGCAGCTATAAACGTAGCTTCTTATGGGGAGGAGAAAATTACACACAAATAGGACGTTGGAAAGAAAGTCAAGTTTAAATAAAAATAATAAAACACACGCGTTTGTATGTAAAAAAGAGACACGAGAGACTTGACGAGCTTGAAGCTGTAAGAATTTATGCTCCGTGCATAAAGTCGCGATCGATCGAGAGAAATCCGAATGCGCTGCAAATGCCGTTCCGTGCAGACTGTTCGTCTACGAGCTGAATATCAATTTCCGTTGCGTGCAGCGGACAGCCGTTCTACCGTTCTCTGAAATTTGGCAGCTCGTAATACGGATAAATGCCGGAAACTATATCATTAGAATCCCGTCGATTACGCTCGCCAATTGGCATGTCCAGGATACGAGGATGCGGAAAGGCGGAACGGTAGTTCCACTGATTATCATAGTCCAGACGAGAGGACTCGGCAATGGAACTACTACAGAAATCGAAGCGACCCATATGGTCAAGGTTACTCGGGCCGGTATCCTTACGATCGAACGGGATCGCAGGACGAGAGGTATCCTGACAGCGGCGGCGGCGGCGGCGGCGGCGGCGGCGGCGCGTCAGGTTTCGGGATCGACGAGAACCGACCGGGCGGTTATCCCGATAGTCGCGGCGACGGATATTACGACACATACAGCGGTAATTAGTCCTAACTATGTTAACTATCACGAGCTACACAGCGCGCCCATCCCCACTTTTGAGTTTGCCCTGAGCGTTCTACGCGAACTCGCTCTATCCCTTTTCTATCTATCAAATTACCCTACTAACATCTTCCATCGTTCGCGACAATCTTCCTACAGGTGCCGGCGACAGCGAACGAGGAGGAGGAGGAGGAGGAGGAGGAGGAGGCTCTTACCATCGTGGCCGCGGACAAGGTTCCGGTGATGCTCACGGCGGCAGAGATCCTTACTCGAACTACGATACCGAAGGCGATCGCGGCACAAATGCTGCGGATCCTTACGGCCGAGGATCACCAGACTCCTATGGCAGTCACAGAACCGGCGAATCCTACGGTCGTGGAGGCGGGAGCGCTTACGGACGCGGAGGTGGTGATGCTTACGGTCGCGGAGGTGGCGGCGATGCTTACGGCGGTGCTCGCGGTGGTGGCTATAGTGGCGGTTATGGCGGTTATGGCGCCGCCGGAGATAACGAAAATTACCCGAGCAATTACCAGGCGGTACCGATGCCGGGAGCAGCACGAAACTGCACGGGATCTGGATGCTGCGTGCCCAAGTGCTTCGCCGAGAAAGGATCGCGGGTTGGTTCTCGAGGATCGACAATAAAATGCCCGGGCGATCGTTAAGATTTCTGGAGAATCGCGGCTGTTAACAGCTATATTTTATCCGTTGCTTATTATCGCCAATAACATTCTTGTAATCTCTACACGATATCTGAGGTGTCTCGAACGCGAGCAACGCAATGGATCATTAATTCATCGCAGTATTCTTACTCAGGGACCACCTGGAATATTAGGACCGCAGGGTCCCAAGGGACAGCAAGGATTTCCAGGAACAGAAGGTCTTCTAGGACCCAAAGGACAGAAAGGAGATCCCGGTCCACAGGGTCTACCCGGTATCAAGGGTGACAGAGTACATATCTTTCACTTTCGCATAATTATGATCGTGTTTTATATTAAAATATTTCTCGAGAGACAATGTTGTTTTCATTCAAGGGCAAAATGGGTATGCCCGGTTTCCCCGGTATAAACGGTGTACCGGGAGTACAAGGACCTCCGGGGTCAACTGGTTTGCCCGGTCGTGATGGTTGCAATGGAACGGATGTAAGTACTGTATTTACATATCGTGAAATACGTAATATTCTATATTTGTATTTTATTAATTTAGTACTTTACTCGATATCTAATTTATGCTTAAAAAGATCTTGAAAATATATGAAAGATGTGATAATTGTATAACTACACTCGAGAATATCTGCGATAAGATTACGACGATGTTGAAGGGTTTCGTCAAACTTGCGATATACGTTATTATTAATGTTAATTTATATCAGGACAACGAAATGTGTGTAAGTCAAGCATACAATGCGTGTCTTAGGGCGCTCCCGGACGCAAAGGTATTCATGGAGAATCAGGACCTCGCGGTCTTCCAGGCACACCTGGTCCTAAAGGAGAAAAGGGTCAACCAGCGTATGCCGGATCATTCCCGGTGGGGCAGAAAGGTGAACCTGGCATGGACGGGGTGAGAGGTCCCCCAGGTCCGCCTGGTTTACAGGGAGATCGAGGTTCGTCTGGTATAAAAGGTGAACGAGGTCCTTACGTGAGTATCGCTCAGATCCATCGAGTCTAGATGTTCTTTTTTGTTTTTATTTCATTCGAATCATATTTACGATGCTGTGTGTACATTCAGGGTGCTTCTGGCATACCAGGACCAAAAGGAGAAAAGGGAAACATGGGTCTGGGATTCGAAGGATTGAAGGGAGACAAAGGTCAGAAGGGAGAACCAGGACCTCCAGGCACAACCGCGCCTATCATGCCGTTCCAGGGTGTTAGAGAAGTTACAGGTCCGCAAGGAGAATCAGGACACAAAGGAGACAAAGTATGTAAGAGAATATTATCGATCTTCTTGTGCTTGTGCGGCATCGTTTAACTGGAGTGGCCTTCAGGGTGAAATGGGACCGGAAGGGCAAAAAGGAGAGCCAGGTTTTATAGGTGATCATGGAATACCCGGAGGATCCGGTCAGAAAGGAGAGAAAGGTCTCCCGGGAGCACCGGGTATTCGTGTAAGTACATTGAAATTAATAACTTTTATAATTTAAACGAAACTACTTGTGACGTTATTAATTAATCTAAATGCTAAATGCTAAAGTGTACGAAATTATTCGTAGATTGATCGAAATAATTTATTATTTTTTCCTTGGATTCAGGGCAGAGATGGTTTCTCTGGGCCACCCGGACCACCTGGACGAAAGGGTGATCGAGGTATCGATGGGTTGGAGGGACTCTCCGGGCGTCCAGGTAAAAAAGGAGAACCCGGTCGAGACGGACCGATGGGAGTCGCAGGATTACGAGGACCTCCTGGACCACCAGGAGTAAGTTTCAATTGCAAGATTTTAATGAAACAATTGTCATGAAATTCTTCTTTAATATAATTATTACATTGAATATTATGTCACAGGGAGGCAAAGGAAGACCAGGTCCGCCAGGACCGAAAGGACCGCGAGGTTTTCCAGGAGCTACCGGACCGCGAGGAGCAGACGGTTACTCAGGAGATCCAGGACCAAGAGGTCCTATAGGAATACAAGGAGGTCCCGGATTACCTGGAATTCCAGGTCCGGAAGGTTTACCGGGCGAAAAAGGCGTAAAAGGTGAGCCTGGCTTAACTGGATTCCCAGGAGGCGCAGGACCACGTGGCTTTGACGGACCTCCTGGACCAGCGGGACCACGAGGACCACTAGGAGAAAAAGGATTGTCAAGGATGGTAAGTACATTTAGTTCAATTTCGTCGTTTCACTCTTTCACACAACCGAAATATCGCTTAAAAAATAGCGAATTATCATATCGTGTTGTAGGGACCAAAAGGATTGGACGGACTGCCCGGTTTGGACGGAGAGAAGGGTCAAAAGGGAGAGCGGGGTTACCCGGGTGTCCGAGGCAGACCAGGGGACTCTCTAGACGGTATTCCAGGAGCACCGGGCTTGCCGGGTGAGCCTGGAGAACCAGGAACGGCAGGAAGAGACGGCACACCAGGACTTCCGGGAATGGTCGGAGAGAAAGGAGATATTGGTGGTCGCTGTCAGGATTGTTTACCTGGATTACGAGGTGCTAAAGGAGATCACGGTGCGGACGGTATTCCAGGACTTACGGGACCTCGAGGACCACCTGGAGAACGCGGTTTCCCCGGAGAAGCTGGAATGGATGGGCTACCAGGAGCAATCGGACCCCCAGGACCTCCAGTATGTCCATAATATTTCCTTTTTTACTAACTTGTTCTTTAAATTTTGCTGATATTATTTTGTGATTAATTATGTGATAATATACATAAAGTGATTGTTTTCCGATAAAACTTCTCTGGATTCCAGATAGCGCATAATTTTTTATTTAACGCGTGAGGAACTCTGGATAGCGGATAAATAAATATATATTAGATATGTATTATCCGTGTATATCCGCGTATACGCAATCGTGAAATGTTAAATAAAAACAAGTATATCAATTTTTCAATAAGGGAAAAGATGGTATACCGGGTGCTCCAGGACCTCAAGGAGAACCTGGAACCCCAGCAACAGTCACATGGAACATGCTTAAATTAGAGAAAGGTGATAAAGGTGCGCGTGGCGAGTTTGGTCGCCAAGGACCGCCAGGTCCAGAAGGAGCTCCGGGGGAGAAAGGTAGACCCGGATTCGAAGGTTTTCCAGGACTTAAAGGAACTCCGGTAAGAGACTATCTTTGAAAGTTACCAATATTTATTACGAAGAAAGATTCTCTCTTTTTCATTTTAATTTATAAATTCGTCTTTCTCAGGGAGACCGCGGCTTTCCTGGACAAGATGGTGTTGCAGGAAAACCAGGTATTCCTGGACGTAAAGGAGAAAAAGGGTTAAGTGTGAAAGGTGAACCCGGAGAGGCAGGTCGACCAGGTTCTTCAGGACAGAAAGGAGAGCCTGGACTGTACGGACAAAAGGGTGAACCTGGTGAGATATCGTTAATTTTTTTTACTTTCGAATTATTTAAAATTTTTGAAAGATATTTATTCATAAATTGGCTTACTGGTATCTCTAGGTCAATGTCCGTCACTTTACTTGCTGAAGGGTTTCAAAGGCGATCGAGGTTTAACTGGCGACAAAGGAGAACCTGGACCTCCTGGTCTAGACGGAATACCCGGAGATAAAGGATTGCAAGGTTTCGCGGTGCGTAAACTTATGACAGAATAGTCCGACGGAAAATTTAAATTTTACAAAAGCTACATCTCAAGTTTTACATATAATGCACAAATATAAATAATTTCTATATATAATTATTTAAGCTTTTAGTTCCAAAATAATATTTTAGAAGATGTTTTGAAAACAACCAACGATAGTACAATTTATTTACGAAATGACATAATTTCGTGATAATGTCGCAATCTAAAAACAGGGTCCACCTGGCCCGCTTGGTCAAACTGGTGCCCCTGGTCCTGTTGGTCCACGAGGTTTACCAGGTCCACGCGGTGACAAAGGCAACATGGGCCCTATGGGCTTCCCGGGAGAACCTGGTCGAGAAGGACCTAGAGGATTCCCAGGTGCACCAGCACCGAAGGGTGATAAAGGAGAGGCTGGTATATCAGTCAAGGGTAGCCCCGGTCTACCAGGTCCTCCGGGTGAAAAGGGAGAAAGAGGTCTTCCCGGACCACCGGGTAAAGAAGGTCCAGATGGTTATCCGGGATTGGCAGGTTTATCCGGAGAGAAAGGAGACATTGGTGCGCCGGGAATAAACGGTTTGCCTGGAGCACCTGGTGAGCGAGGAGACACCGGTCTGGTCGGTCCTCCTGGTCCCCCAGGTGTTGCCGGTATTCCAGGAGCCGACGGCAGCAAAGGTAACATATATATCTGTCGCGATTTTTGTATCGCTGACACTTTTTCATTTTATATATGAATATTCCAAGTTACTTCAAAAAGTTTTTTTTTTCTAATCGAAATGTCATCGATTGGTTTTACTAAACGTATTAATAATCTTCCGGAACGATTGCTTGATTCGCAGGTGAGCCAGGATTACCGGGAGAATCTGGTAGAGCGGGTCTTCCAGGATTCCCAGGCACGAAGGGTGATCGTGGTGAACCGGGTATCGACGGACCGAAAGGATACCCTGGTAGACGAGGTTTACCCGGCTCCCCAGGTATACCTGGTGCGGAGGGTGCACCAGGTATTAAGGGAGAACGGGGTGATAAAGGTTCACCAGGTTTCCCTGGATTGCCTGGTATGGAAGGAAAGCCTGGTCGTCCAGGTATAGCTGGACTGAAAGGAGACATTGGACTACCTGGAGTGCCTGGCTTACCAGGACTTGTCGGTCACGATGGACCTAAAGGTGACATCGGTCAACCTGGTTTGCCGGTGAGTATTCTCATGATTGTATCAATAACTTGGTAATAAAGTTACGCCTACGTTTACACGGATATCAGAAATGTCTTTATATAATCTAATCTATCATAGCTAATATATCATATTATATCTGATATTTCATTATGTAATCAGGGAAGGAAAGGAGAACCAGGTCAAGTTTCAGAGAAAGGACAGAAAGGTGAGCCTGGAATGCCCGGAATACGAGGTCCCCAGGGTCCTCCTGGTCGAGATGGAATCGATGGTGCAAAGGGTGAACCTGGCGAACCAGGTATCGGTCGTGACGGAAGACCCGGATTGAAGGGTGAACGAGGCATTCCAGGTCTGGATGGAACGCCAGGATTCCAAGGTCAAAAGGGTGACACTGGTGTACAAGGATTTCCTGGAATGAAAGGCGACTTGGTATGTGTGCATTTATCTTTTATAATTATTTTAATAATTTTAGATATTAACAAAATGTCATAGTATTATTTTCTTTTGTTATTATTATTATTATATTTGTATTTTTGTTAACAGGGTGCACCAGGTGTGCCTGGAGAATTAGGACCGCCCGGCATAGATGGAATACCTGGCGAAGATGGCGATCTCGGACCATCAGGACCGCCAGGTTTCCCCGGACTTGATGGTGAAATGGGACCCGCTGGTCGACCTGGACTCGATGGTGTCAAAGGAGACCGCGGTATACCAGGTATGGAAAATCAATTATTACAAGTGTACTTTATCGCACTTGTTTGCAATAAAAATATGAAAAGGCCCGTTTGACGAAAAGCTAAAAGTTTAAGTTGAGTTTATTTTATAGTTGAATAATTGTCGAATCTTAGGAATCGTTGGATTGCCCGGTATTTCGGGAGCACTCGGAGAAAAGGGTGACCGCGGCCCTCCGGGACCAACAATACAGATCAAGGGTGAAAAGGGTGAACCAGGTATCCCTGGATCCCCTGGCCTTTCTGGAGAAAAAGGAGATCGAGGCGTGGAAGGTATCGCTGGATATGATGGCGAAAAGGGTGACAGAGGTCTACCTGGATCTGAGGGACAACCAGGACCTCATGGTGCGCCTGGTCCTAAAGGTATGACCATTTTATTTAAATAAAATAATTAGAATGAGAAAGTTTTGTCCCGAAGAACTAATCAAACGATAAATTTGCAAATTTATCAGCACACATTTTATACTTCGTATAGGTGAATACGGACCTGTCGGTGTTCCTGGTTTCCCTGGACTTGCGATAAAGGGCGAGAAAGGTCTACCAGGTTTGTTGGGTAAACATGGTAGAGACGGTTTGCCAGGACGACCCGGAGATAAGGGTGAACGTGGATTACCCGGATTGCCTGGACCGAAAGGAGATATCGGTCCTTATGGGCCGGTTGGACCGCAAGGTGAAAAGGGCGAATCAGGACAACAAGGCTTAACTGGAGCACCAGGACGTGATGGGGCGTCAGGTTTGGATGGTGCACCAGGATTACCTGGTGAAAGAGGTCAGAAGGGTGATCAAGGATCGCCTGGATTGTTCGGTGCTCCAGGACAAAAAGGAGAACCCGGTCTTTCAGGTGAAATTTCAACATGTTAAGTCATTCATAGATGTCTGAATAAAATTATTATTGCAAATACATATTTATCTTTCTCTATATTAAAAAGACAGATGGAATCATTCATAATTGACTTTAGAAAAAAATAATAATGGGCAACAACATGACTGTTGAATCGTTGAATTCTCAGGACCAAGTGGACTGGATGGACTCCCAGGGGAGAAGGGCGAGAGAGGTTGGGATGGTTTGAATGGTCCACCTGGATCACTTGGTGAGAAGGGTGATAGAGGATATACCGGTGTTGCCGGTCTGATTGGTGCTATCGGCTATGTGGGTCAAAAGGGTGAAAAGGGTGATGACTGTATCGAGCCACCAATGGGACCTAAAGGCGATCGTGGATATCCAGGTATATTTATCACCAGACATACGATTTTACGAAGAAAAGAATACTTGTAAAAATTCAATATAACCTTAACAACAATATGTATGTGATAAAATGTAAAGGAAAAATGTGACACCAATCAAAATAAGGTACATTGTATATGCACACACAGAAGGATGCGCATTATACACAAGTATTTTCGATAATTCAAAGTGCACCGTGATACTTTTACCGTGATATCGATCTTAAATACGTAAATCTGCAATATTGTTTATTCGATGCATCAATGCGCTAAAAATTGCGGACATAAACTTTCTCGTAGGACCGAACGGACCGTCTGGCCCGCCGGGAGAAAAAGGACTCCCAGGTCCACCGGGCTTCCCCGGCTTGGACGGGATCAAAGGTGCTCAAGGTATTACTGGCCCACTTGGACCACCTGGTTTGCCAGGTTTGCCCGGACCGGTTGGCGCGCCCGGTTTATCGGGTCTTCAAGGTCCAGTCGGTGTGCCTGGACTTATCGGCGAGCCTGGTGCACCATGCGAAGCGACACCTGATTATCTTACCGGTATCCTTCTGGTCAAACACAGTCAAAGCCAAGACGTGCCGGGCTGCGAGCCAGGACATATCAAGCTCTGGGAGGGATACAGTATGCTGTATACCGATGGCGACGAGAGAGCGCACTCCCAAGACTTGGGTGAGTTTATCGGCAAAGAAAAAGAAAGTTTTGCGCTTTCTAATTACGAAATTAATAGTATGATTTTAAAATAGCTGTAAATGGGAAGCTTTTTTTTTTATAATGAAACGAGATCTTAAATATAATCTTACTCCTTTTTCGTTTTCCGCTTAATATTGTGAAAAAAAAATGAAGAAGATACTGTGCAGAAGGATTTCCATCTTCAATTATAGGCGTTGTTATAATTTACTCGGGATTAATTTTGTGAATGACCTTCTGACCCATACCTGTTATGGACATAATTTAGTAGAGAGAGAGAGAAAGAGTAGATTTGTCTCGATTATCTGGATTAAATTGTCACGTGTGACATTATTGCGCATTAATAGACGATTAAATTCATTATTCAGTGAGTTTATACGCAGCGAGCCACATATTTTTGCGCGCTTACTGGCTGTTTAGCGCTTATTAAGCCAACGCATATTTGCGCACCGATAAATGTAGAGTCATTCTTGTTTTTCCTCCGTTGCGACTGCGATCGATGCAAAATAATATGACTTGTTGATCTCAAATCGACGGAGAAATTATAATAATGATGGCGAGTCAGCGCAGCATACGCGCGGTTTCATTTTTTTTTCCTTTATGTATGCGCGCACTTATCTAACTCGTCCTATAAATTATCACGAAAACAGGTTATGCTGGCTCATGCGTACGAAAGTTCGCGACGATACCCTTCCTGTTCTGCGACGTCAACAACGTCTGCCATTACGCTAGTCGCAATGATCGCTCCTACTGGCTGTCGACCAATAGTCCAATTCCCATGATGCCCCTCGAGGAGTCGGCGATAGAAGAATACATCTCCAGGTACGACCGAAGGATATTCACTATGCATACACGTCGTCGAGATATTTATCGCGGCCGCAAAAGAAAGAGCGCTGCATTCCTCGGGAGAGAACAATTACGGCGGTGGAGTCGTGAGGCGACGCAGAAAGACCCCTATCAGACGCACGATAAATTGGTAGTCAGATTTTTCTCGGCGAAAAATTTGCAGCACGGCACGCTAGTCTTTAATCTTCGATATTAACTGCCGCGGCGGCAATTCAGCTGTTTTATTTCTACGAAGATCGACGCGACAATTACTCGAGAAGAAAACAAGGCTTTGTTATTACGCTTCTTCATCCGCACCCTTCAAATCAAATTTGTCTAATAATTTCTTTCCGATGAATTTTTAAAGTCCGCGGCGGAAATACACTGTCGAGTAGATGATCGGCAAACGACGATTTAACGCGGATTGTGCGAGATTCCATAAATAACACCTAATTAATAAACATAGCACGAGTTGATATTAGTTATTCTGTGCCGAAATCTGACACACATATGTACGTGGAACCATCTCTGAATTATTAATCAGGTCTGTTTTCTTTTTTGCGTCATATAGAACTTGCCAACACGTCGTCGATACTAGGCGATTTATTCGCGTGTGGGTTTTACCTATCACAGATAACTGTAACGATTCACGATTTCTCTGGTAGGTGCGTGGTGTGCGAGGTTCCAGCTAACGTGATAGCGGTACACAGTCAAACGATAAGCATTCCAGAATGTCCGGCGGGATGGACCGGCCTTTGGATCGGTTATAGTTTTCTCATGGTGAGTAATTTTATTTATCGGGCCATCCGTCGTAATATATGCCAGCCAACCCCGAACGTTCATTTCGCCGATTGATGTACGAGATATGACTACGCGAAGCAATTCTTCAGAAAGCCGCGTGCTTATGTAATGGCGGATGTTTAAAAATTGCGCATCGCTCTATACGGTGATATGAATAATTGAATTCATTACAACATGCGTGAAAAAGCCTGTCTTCATCTCTTTCCGCGACCTCTTTACACGACCGTCTCTCCTTCACTGACACTCGACTTCACGAATCACCTCGGATTTGCTACATGGAGAGATCGCATCAATCATATTCGAAATAAGGCAAACTTTCATCGCCGCGACCTGTCATCGAGCAAAGATTGCCTCCGCCGCGAGAGATCCATTTTACGCCGAAGACGCCCACCCTTCATTAGAATTTTATAGCACTTTGACGAGGACTTTTGAGTAGCACAGTGGCGACGAGCCGCAGTTTCCAATACTTCAATTAAACGAGAAAAATATGGATTTGAGTCTGATCCCGCTCGGTCGAACGTCACAAATCGTAAATTGTGCACGCTCAGCACACTCGAGTGCTCTTCCTGTCTCTCTCTCTCTCTCTCATCGACTGAACCTCCTCGCGAACCTCGTTTCAGCACACCGGCGCAGGTTCCCAGGGCGGCGGCCAGTCCCTGTCGAGTCCTGGCTCCTGTCTGGAGGACTTCCGCGCCACACCGTTCATCGAGTGCAACGGCGCCAAAGGACACTGCCATTACTATACTAATCAGTACAGCTTTTGGATGGTAACTATAGAAGACGGTCAACAATTCAGGAGCCCCGAGAAACAGACCCTAAAGGCGGGCAATCTTAGGTCCAGAATAAGTCGCTGCCAAGTTTGTATAAAGAATACGTAAAACTACGCGCGCCACACACACACACACACACACACACACACACACACACACACACACACACACACACACACACACACACACATACACACGCAGAGACACACGATACACACCTACCCACTCAGCCAGACACACAACATACGCACGCACGCACGCACAGGTATACGTATACGCGTATAAACGACACACATTTCTTCCCTTTTCCGTTTTTTTACACGGGAACAGAAGCGAAACTCTCATTACGAGTATAATGAGCAGGGTATCGGAGCCGGAGACGGTGATTCCGTCGAGTTCTCGAATTCCGAATCTCTCTCGACGCGCGAAAATGATCTCCATGTTTACACGAGACGACGGGAAACGTGACGATTCGCTCGAGAGATACATTTTACCACAGCACGGAAAATAGAGCCCGTCGAAATTACGACCGGTTTCGCCCCCTGATAACAAGGAAGAAGAGAGCGGTAACGTCTCGCGATGGAACGACGGAACGGAAGTTCAGAGGACTCGCTCGATCGACGTGTCGACGACGTCGAAATAAAGAGAGAGACGCGTCCTTCCTTCCCTCGTGATCCTTCCACTTTTTCCTCTCTCTCTCTCTCTCTCTCTCTCTCTCTCTCTCTCCCCCTCTATATACCTGGTGTGTTTCGTAACCACGTCTTATCTTCGTTATTCCTGCCCGACTCTCCTTCTTGCTCCTCACTGTCTCAACGTCTCCGTCCTCGGTAACTTCTTTTTCCCGAGAGCCATCCTCCTCGCTCGTTAGCCGCCCTTTCATCTTCTCCGCGAACGCTGCCTCTTTCGCCATATGTGTTTCTTTTTATTTTTATTTCTCTCTCTCTCCTTTTTTTTTTTTACATGTATAACTATTCAAGCAAATGCCTCTAGCGCGTACTCTCTTTTAGCATGTAAAATAATATATATTTATATCTCTCGTATTTGAAGTCTAAGTTTATCGTACTCTACCACGGACACTGCCCATATCCAATATGGCACATTTTACGTATTGTATATTAATATAAATGATCTTAGCCTGGTAATCGTGTGACGCCAAATATTTAAATGAATAGGTATTTTGCTACGTAGCTAATAAAATTCTATTTTCAAACTTCACTGGCTCATTCGTACTCGTCTACATCTCCGATCCTGAAATAGTGAGTAAGCGAGCGCATAATAGTACGTAATATGCGAGTGCATATCCGAGATCACGTTGGAACGATCCTCCGAGTCGTTCGATTTTTCCCGTCTCCGTTGAGTGTCCCCTTCTCTCCTTTTTGCGAATATAACGCGCAGGCATACAAGAGAGGAAGAATGTAATTAACTTAATTATATGAAATTATACTTTTTACACACGCTAACTGTAACTCCTGTGTCTGTATAATTGTGTAATGCTGAGGAGACTTTTACGTCTCGGTTGATATTTGTTTTTTCTACTGGGCGAAAAAGATTGTATAAAATATTTTTAACTGGACGAAATACTAGAGAACATTATAACGCAAATGTGAATATAATAGTTCGAATGAGAAATAAAAAAATACGTTGTGATACAAGGACAAAGGTTTGGATATTACTCTGTATTCATGCTGCCTGCGGTCGGCTTTTAGTCGACGGAATAATCAAAATTTCTTTCGCGTTCGTTATTTTATCGAATTTTCAATACTTCACGACGTACAACGCCGCGTTCGCTCCGCTATTTACAAAAAATACACCGTGACCGGTGACACTGTTATTTTTAAATGCACGAGTTATCGATGAAGGTTCAATTCTTAACGAGGTGTACCGGACGATGTTGATGCCGCAATTGCAGAATGTACCGCACTAATGCCTCATTCGTACATTACGCGCGAGGACTCTCGCGCAGCAGAGAAAGATACGTGTCGAGGTCCCCCCCGGTTTAATCTCACGTTCTTTTTATTTGTTTCACGTGACTGACATGCTTCTCGAGAAGGGAAAACCTGGTAAACATTTTGGTCCATTTTGCGCGCAGGCAGGTGTTACGAGAATTACCGGATAAATTCAAGCTCGTTCATGTTAACGCGCTCTGTTTCAGAACGCTCGCACTGGGATCGGGAAAAAAAGAAGGGATAAGTCTTGGCATGCGGAATGCACAAACTCGCACACTCGCGCAACGTAAGCTCGTGACAACGTGTTTGTTGTAAATTATTAACACTTAATCCGTAGCCAGTAGCTGAAGCGATACCGTCGATCGTATCGCGAGGAAGAGCGATTTTTTTCTCGAGGTGTGTCCTCGAGATTTTGCAGGGCACTGCCAGAAATTTCGCGCGTCTCGGCGTCGCCGATAAAAGCCCTGCGACGGAAAATACAGAATTTATTTCAAATTGATTTTCGCGCGTGCAATGTACACCCGCGGCGGTGCATAATTTTCTGCAAGAATTCTCCGGATTACAGGTTCATATTGATCCGTTAATTTCATACGCGTTTGCGTTAGTTCGCGAATGGGTAAAAGGGTCGACCGAGCGTGTATCGATTACTGTTATAAATGCCTTTTGCACCACACACACACACACACACACACACACACACACACGATCTAATTGAAACACGCGGCGGAAGAAAGTGTGCTTTAACGGCACTATTCGTAGCAAACATTTTCCCGGGGTCCTTTACTCCTGATATATAATTACTTCAAGACTTTAATTGAATCCCAGAAGCGTTTCACACGGAGCGACCGTTTTATCGCTGAGAGAATGAAAGAGAAATTTATTCTCTCTAATCACTACGCTGGAGTGGAGTTTATTTTGCTCGTGCGGCAACGGCCGACGCCGCGTATATTCTTTTCTATTTCTCCCTTTCTTATCGTACTTATTAAGTACTATAGAGCGATAATCGCCGTGAAAATTCGTCGGCACGAAGATGCGAGGCGCGTGCGTATGCATACAGGGTGGCTCGCGGAAGGCGCGTCTCGATAATAACGGCCGCCTTTCGCCGATATTCAGCCGTCGGAAATTAAATTCAAACAATGTTAAATACTTTCATAATCGGTATTTTTTAAACTCTTTCTTTTCTAATTGGGAGTGTGAATTCGAGAGATTCCGTCGAGTTCCCCCCCCGGCCGGTGTGAAATTAATTTTTAATCAATACCAAATCCGTAAACTTGGTGTATTAATGGGATTCTCTGTTTCAAAAGTCTGTCGTGCGAAGAGATTTTTGCGGTGAAACTTTCGACATAAAATTTGCCTTAAAAGATCTGTGGAAAAAAAAAACCTCGAAGTTCCACCGAGCCAACCTGTACGCATCGTCGCCGTCGGGTAGACGTCGTCACACGCGAGGCGACGCTGTTCTCTCGTGCCACACGCGAGCGAAATCATCAACGCGATTTTCGCGGCGATTTCACGCGTACGCTCAAACGTCGTCTCGTTATGGCAATCTGTTGTTTGCGAGAAGAAAAATCGTTAGCGCGCGCGCGCGCGCGCGCGAAAGTCGCGAGATACTTTAAAGTTTCGCTGTCTTCCCGGTCGGGAAAGTTCCGGCGCACACGGAAGTCGCCGCAAGAAATTGATCAAGATCAATGTCACTCAAAGGCCTTCAGCTTAGCCTTTAATTGGTCCGCGAAAAGGCATTTCAAGGGTCCTTTGGAAGTTTCTAACTCGGGAAACATCGTCCCGAGCTGCGTAATCCTGCCTGTTACTCCGGCATGAATGTGATCGAGGGGCAATTTGCCCGCTGGAAAACGGAGGGTTGATCAGAAAATCTTCGGCATACGGCGACGGAAGAAGGCGCGAGCGAGGGTGAACGCGAAGTGTCGCGCGCGCGTTTCCTTCCCAGCGGCCGAGATCGTCGCTCGATTCATTAGCATATGTTTTCTTTTCGCGCGCGAACAACGCCGCCGCCTCTCACTCCCGCGTGTCTGTTACAGACACGAGTTCGTTCGATCAAGTATGAACGAACGGCCTCATCGTTGAATGGCGCCACGGGGACTGAATCGAAGCGCGGTGCACAATGCTGCGCGCCCGTAATGCACGCGCGGCCGGTATTCTTTCGCGGCAGAGTTTCCGTCGAGATACTGCGACATTTCCTCGCGCATATATCAACCCGAGCCCCGGACGGTGTTTTGAATGTTCCAAAATACGATACGCGACACGCGAAAGCGCCGTGCAGCCGCGGAGTGCTCGAATTTATTCGCAAAATGGATGACTTTCGACACGCCACCCTTATGCCGATATTGTTTATTTGCATGGGGTTTTATATATCTACTGTAAATAAATAAATAAATAAATAAATAAATAAATGAATGCACACATATATACCTATTTGCTTTTAAAAATGTACACAACGCAATAATAGTTGTATTATGTGGACTTTTCGCTCTCGCGATTTTGCAATCAGTTTTCAAGTCAAAGAGAAGTTTGCACGCGCGATATCGCGCGAGCTTGATACCGCAGAATTTACTTCGCTGATCAGTCGAATCCGCCCCACCGATTAACATAAACAATTAACATAAAGTCGTGGCGGCGCTGATCCACTTATAAAATGAAAAAAGAGAAGAAAAAAATTGCGCACGACCGGACGTGCAAGTGCGACGTAGATTTCCTTGTTTTCTTGTTTTTTTTTTTCAGTGATACACTTAACCTCGTCCCGTTCACTGTTCGAAGCACTGTTGCAACCTTGTTTTGCTACCCATTCCACCCGCTGGAAAGAAATCGAGCGACGCGTAGCTGGGATTTGTAACAACGATGTTAATTTCCCGTCGTTTAATGCGCGCAATCTGCTGCATATTTACAGCTGAATCGACACCGTCGATGTATCGACGTGCGCGCGTACAGCACGTACCCGAAATCATTTTATATCCGCGCGAAGATAAAATGGTGTTCGATTGTGCGTAAAAGCGTCGACGGAGATGACACCTCGGAACACACGAGCGCTCCGCTCAAATACGCACGAAAGTGGCGATTTCCTCGCGGCGTGTGTTCGTGCTTTTTTGTTCTTTTTCTTTTTCACACAAATTCAAATTGATACGAGATTATCGAGTCGCCGAATCGGCGTTGATACATGTGTGTATACGCGCGCGAGCGAATGTTACGTGAACATCGTCATTATTATTCATTCGTTCGGCGCGGAACGGCGCGTGCTACGTTCGCGGAATGTAAGCTTTGGCTTATACGCGAGCGCGGTCGTACGCTCCGAATAAGCGTATTATCACTAATCATACCTGGTCTCGCGCAGGGCGCTTTCAAATTCGCGCCGTGACACACCGTCTTCGCGTATAATGACACGTGCGGCAACTCCCTCCCTCCCCCCCCCCGTTCTCGTCATTAGTCTGTGTCGTTGTACTTCGCACGAGGTGGGATCAGTTTTGCGAACGTGCGCGCGTCTCAGCAAGATTCCACTGTATAATTAACAACGAGGGGATCGGCACAGATCAGGCGAAAGCGCGGCCGACAGTCGATATCGTTCTCTCTCAAAGATCTCAAAGTGACTCGTCGAGTTTGGGATCAAAGGTGATAACAAAGTGCCGTGGGCACGCGCTTATGTTTCGGCCGTCAAGTAAATTACCGACTGAAAAGCTCGTAGACGGTGAAGACGCAGCGCCGAAACAGCGCCAAAATGACGTCAAAATGTTACGACGCTTGAAAAGTCGTACGAGGGACGTGGCTTTGTAACGAGTCGAGTTGCAGAGCTCGCGAACAAGCGCTGAATAATTTCGCCGACAAGAGCCGGCACACGTCAGTTTATTCAACAATGATCCGCGCTGGCGCAGGAGGAGAACCACTTTCGGCGGAAGCGCCGAGCGCCGCCCAGCGAGTCCTTTTGGGGTCAACGCGTTTAGCATAGAGAGCGGAGACGAGCCTCCGAAGAAGAGCCAACTGCGTTTCAAGAAATTAAAATCACGGGATAAATGAATATTTAGGCGGCTGGCTCTTACGAAAGATCGAAAGGGAACGGTGATGATGCCGTGCATCTCACCTCTCTTAACGTTCGTCCCGATAATGAGAGACGTTCAAGCTGATTCGAGCCGGGACGATGAACCTTGAAACGCACGGATTTTACAATAACCTCGCACGCTTCTACGCACGAGTCTGCCGTCTCTAAATTGCGTTTCTACGAGCTTTTCACCGTTAACAATGTACTCGATATATATACCGGGTGTTTCAGACCACCCGGGTCACTCGATTTTTTCGTTAACGCGACATCGTAGAGAAAAATATATTTCTGACA